AGAAAGAACTCCGCGTTCGAGGGGAATGCTATTGAAATTTTAATGGCCAGGGCCAGTGGCTGTGACGGCTTCAATGGCTTTCGGTTTGTTGGGGGCTGTTCAAAAGGGACAGAAAAATCTTTAAGAATGCTGTCTGTAGCAGGCGGGAATAAACATAGATTAAAGGATAGGCTGCTTGGTACTCCCAAAGACTTTTGAAGTGGGTATGTCATATTTAAAATTGATTTTAAGGAGGTTTTGATTTTACTTTTCTTTGTATCACTGTCATCACTGGCCGTATAGAAACGGCCGTCGACAGAAAAAAGCTAACAACTTTTTAAATGAACCTTTATATAGTTATATGCACTTGGAATACTGCTTTTAAATATTACACATAAACATTTATAAATAATAAAATGGTCATAAAAAAAAGAAAAAACGTAATATACACTTTAAAAAAAGTAATTTTCTAAGTCGGGGAGAATCTACATCGGAAAACCAAACTTTTATGTTGGGGGTAAAATGTTGATTTGATTTTAAATCCAACTCATCATATTAAAGAGAACTGGATAAATTATATTTGTATACCCTCTGTATTATAATTTCAGTCAAAAGTTTGCAATGCAGTGAAGGAGACATTTTCGACCCTATAAAGTATAAGTATATATATTCTTGATCAGCATCACCAAAAGAGTCGATCAAGCCATGTCCGTCCGTCTGTCCGATTCTAAGCAAACTAGTGACTCAGTTTTAAAGCTATCTGCTTGAAACTTCGCACAGTTCTGTTTCTATTGCAGGTAGTATATAAGTCGGAACGAGACGGATCGGGCGGCTATATCATATAGCTCCCATCTGAAAAAAAATTCAAAAAAAGTATAACTTAGTTGTTTTTAATTTAATGTTTTTTGGTTGTTCTTTGGGATTTTTTAATATTTAAATGTTATGGAATTACGGTTTTAATTAAATTAAACTCATATAACTGCCATAGAAACGATGGCAAAATGCGGCGCAAAATCGACATACATATTTCATTGTTTTTAGTAATATAGGCACAGAAATCGAAATGTAGTCGATTTTTAATAACTGCAAGGGTATATAAACTTCGGCTTGCCGAAGTTTGCTTCCTTTCTTGTTAAGCTTCAAATTTATTAATTTTTAAATAACTTTTTGAAAAGTTCATGTGCTTACAACTTATGTTAAGAAAAAAAAATCGAATTAAAAATCGGTTTAGGCTCCATTACATTGTTTCTGTATCATGCTGAAGCTTCTTTTGAACTCTTTATATCGATTAACATCTCAAATTACCTATCAGCGATGACCCTTCTCTGTGATTTTCAAGCATCCCACTTTAATGTAACACAAAATTTCAACTTTTGACTGCAATATTTGGTAATTTGAGTGTAGCCCGCATCAGTATGAACTTTGAGGGTTAATCGGGGACATGTTGGAAATGACAACATAATTATGGACCCGCTGTACGAAGGCAAAACGAGGCACGCCCACATAGTTATGACATTGACAGGACCTGCTATCTGTCCAACCTATCTCCGCCCGCCCTCTTTCCCCTCAAAATCGCATGTATTTCGTTAAACGAGGGTTGCAAAAAGAAAATCTCTGGCTAATAGCGCTGAAATGTCGTTGCCAATTTATACGGCGACCCTTCAGCGAGAAGAAACTTCACGCACAATAAATTTTTCATTCGTTGTCATTAAATCATTTCGTAATGCCCCCGAAAAATATACGCAAAAAAGGAAGGAAAAAATAAGCAAGAAGCGAGGAAGCAGAAAGGAGCCAAGGATAATGACAGGCAACATGCTGCAAGTGTCAGGCAGACAGGAAAACGGAAACGTATTGGCGCAGTGAGTTCGCAATGGCTGCCAGACAGAAAAGGAGAAGGAAGAAAGTTTGGGGTAATGTGCCGGGAAGATTCATACTGGAAACTAGAAGGTCTTGGAGATGAAAATTACGACACGGTTTGACACCGCATATCGAATGAGTTATTATACATTTTGTTCTAGCAACAGTAAATATTATTATTATTGCAGTACATAAATCAATAAACGTTCTCAATGCATTGGGATCCATTGCAATGGATTACTTTTATATCTAAACAGATCATGTTTCACAATTATTCGGTTAGAAGGCTTATATCCTGTTAAGGGGGACTTGGATCGATTGCTTCCGTGGCTCCGTGTAGCCGAAGTATAATATTTTACAAACACACAATTAAAAGGATACTAACAAAAGGCAAGAAAAATGATGTAAGTATCTAAAATACTGATTCAAATCAAAAAAACTTGTCAAATCTGCAAAATAAAAAGGATACAGGGTATATTAAATTCTGGCCACTCCATTATATTTTTATTCCTTGTTCAGAACTGCGGAAACGGATGCGGGTGCGGACAACTTGAAAGCGTCTGCCAAAAAAAAATTCATGTATGTGGAAATAAAAGCGCTTTGAAAGATGCGACAAATACCCATGAAAATCATAAATTATGCAAAATATATTTGATTAAAATTCATTTACTGCCAACAACCTAAGAAGCAAGTGGGAGAATGATAAATGCCAGACAAGAAAATCAAAGCAAATCACTTGCAGTTGCCGTAGAGCGAGCCGAAAATGTTTAATAATGGAAATCCCTAGAGCACGCCCAAAACTCAAATGCAGGACTCGGTACACGTGTCCTTGCACACGCCACACTTCATAAATTTTCCTGCGCCGGCGGGTCCCGAGCATTTACAGTTACAGTTATGATTGCCCGAAAGTCAACTGGGGGACGAGCCGCCCGTCGGATGTCCGCCCATCCAACCCTCCGCCCATCCGGAAACTAAGCCTCGCAAAAAGAAAACCGCAACAAAGTAAACACACGAAGGCCGAAGAAAGAACCTTTCCGTCGATGGATGTAAGCCTCTCAGCCATTCAAACATACGCAGCTACACAGAGAAAAACCCAAGAGTTGTAACAATACTATATTTTAGTACCTATTCTACTCAATGTAATATTATAGTTGTTGATCCGTCAGAGATAGTTAACACTAAGGAAAATTGTTTTGAAACATAAATTTACTTCTTTATTAGTACAGAGCCTGATATACACGTATTATAAGAAATTAAATATTTCCGGAACAGTAATTTAACTCAATGTCAAAACCTAACGTGACATTAATAAATTGGCCCTTAAATATAAACGAGGCTTATTAACATTTTCGAGATTTCATTCTCTTATCTTATTTATAACCTCATTGTTTTTTTAATATGATTTTCTTTCAATACACATAATTTTTTGGTCTTGAAAATGTTGAAATTGTTTTCCGTGCAAAAGTCACCCTCTATGAGAAAAGTGAAAATACACAGACACATTGTAGCCCAATGGCTGGGCTTCGAATCCTTCGCCGCAATCAAATCATCTGCCAAGTTTATGATTTATTTAACTTTTTTAATTGACTTTTTCCGAAAGCGGCAGCCTCTCGCCCGAAAATAAGGACTGCGTGTGAAAGGATAATGGTGGGTCTTCAAACAAGGAAACTTCAGTTGCAGTCTATTGCTGTTGTTGTTGTCGGTGTTGATGTTGCCAAAAGGAAATGCGTCATCTAAGCGGATGCGGCTGCGGATGCGGATGCGGAGGTGTTAGACGTCGTGTGCGTGGGGGCGGTAAAATATAGTACTGGGTTTGTTTCAAATCCGGTTTAGTCTATTTATTTTAATGCCTATTTTTATGCTCATCCGGCTGACGTTCACTTTCTTTTTAGCAAAAAAAAAGGGATATCAAATAAATAGAATTGACTCAAATGCTTTGATTTATGTAATGGTAATTGCCAGCGGACAAAGGGGGTAAAACGGGAGCTTTGTCATTTACTCTGGAACTTTTGTTTATTATGCTTGATTAACATTACAAAAAGAGGCAATCGGTTTCTAAAAAACAAAAAACAAACTTACTTTCTAAGGGCCGCACTCACATTTTTAAATCAATAAAAATTAATGCCACCGTAAATGAAATAAACCAAGAAAATGTTTGAATGTTATTTTTTTTTAGCAGAGTGTTTCTATTTAAAACGGTTCATGGTGGACAATGATCAAATTATAAACATAAACTTGGCATTCGTTTTTTCATGTATAGTTTAAATCTTATGCTACGCAACAGGTTAAAAATACACATTTGGTAAGTAATTAGTAAAATGTACAATAATTTTAAAGCATTTTGGGCCACAAACTTGAAACATTTAAACCTTTAGCTATAAAAAACAAAAAATAAATAAAAGCTTTTGAAATACAAAACCCTTTTAACCCTTTAACCCATTTAGAAATTCTTGAAAAACTGAAATATTCAATTATCGAATTTGACAGGACTGTGAATAACCTGAAGCAACTTCCATAAAGATATTTCTTTCCGACCAACCATCCTTTGTCCAGTCATATTCGAGTCATATCCCACACGCATGCATCTTGACTTACCCATCGGATCGGTCACCGTGAAACCGAACTAATTTGACAGCCAACTAGCGCCGGACCCTACAAACGTGTGTATGCCCAAGGATGGACAGGAGTACAATGCAAAAGGGGATCTTTTGGCCCCAAGCTCACTTGTCAGTCTCCGACGAAGTCTAACTTTCAATTTTTTAAGTCAAACATAAACCAAACACACACCCAAAAACAGTATCCCACAATCGGCCACAAAGGCTGGCAAAATATAATTTATGAGCTAACCGAAAAAAGGAGCAGTGCAGAGCAGAGCATGGCATTTGATGTATACATTTTGAGCGTTGTGGAGACACAAAACTGATTTTGATGGACACTTAACAAAACGACACCAACTGCTGCCCAGGACCTGGATCTCAGGAACATTCAGGTGGGGTTGCCGAAACCGAAGATCTGTTCTTCTTCAAGCCGCGAGGGGCAGAACGACCCGGAGAGAAATACGACATATTTCATATTTTATTTATTATTTAGAAAGGGTATGCTGCATAAATCAAAAGCGAAATGAGTACGACATAACAACACCAAAAAGCTGAGACCAGACCCAGATGGAGCCGGAGAAGGAGGTGGAGGTGGAGGTGGAGGTGGCAGTCGGGGATCTGAGGATCTGGGGAGGGCCGGAGTGGCAGACGCAATCGCAGTCATCGATGTTGTCCAATGCAGCCAACCAAACCACCGAACCACCAAACAACCAAACAACCAAACTGCCAAACAACCAGCCAACCAGCATATGAAATAAAATCAAAATAAAACCAAACTCAAAACTCAAACCGAAACTGAAACGCGAAAAAGTTCCCACATGTTCACAATTTCGTACACATTACGTTTATGGGCATTGGGCGAACCGAGGCAAAGGAGTTAAAAAATAAATAAAAACAACAAACAAAAACAATCATCGCGAAACCCACAGATTTGCAAGTAAAGCATAAAATATCATTCATTCAGCATTCAACATAATGCGATTTCATCGTCTGTCTGCTATTCGTTAAGCAGAGGTATGGAATGTTCCTCTTATTCCAATTAGAGTTCGACGAATATTTTTAGAAAATCGAGAGTTTGCTTAGGTTTGTAGCTCCAAAAACAATATTTTATTTTATTGATTCGGATTTAAAACAATTTCTGATATATATTTTATTTATAAATCATGTTAAAAAGTGCTGCAGTTAATAACTAAAACAAGTAGATAATATTAATGATTCAACTAAAAAAATGTAATTGATATATTTTAAATCTTATACGAAATTTAAGAAAACTTAAAAGGCTGACCTAATGGGTTGACGATGGACTTATGAAACCCTAATATATATTTGATTAAATTAATGATTGCATTGTAAACCAAAACATCATTGATTTTGAAAACTTCTGATTCGGCACAACAAAGTTTTTGCATTAGTGTCGTGTAAAACAAATTTTTTTGAAACATCTTGTTGATCGAATTAGTTGAAAATTTGGTTCCCGATTGAATGTCCGAATAACGTCATATTTTTCGCTCAGTGCTTGCAGGTATGAAAGGGTAACCAGAACAACAGTCAAATGTTATGTGTTTGGTATTTTTGCGTCACGCGTTGTTCCACCTCGGTTTTTGTTGTTATTCTGTTTGTTGGCTGTGCAGGGGTGAACGGTGGAGGGGGAGGAGGGGTGAATCGATTCGCGGATTGCGCCTGCGCACACGCCTGAATGCCAAATGCTGGAGCTTTCGGGGGCGAAGGGGGCGTTGGGCGCAGGGGGCGGGGCCATATCAGCGAAATGATCGCAATCTCAACACAAAATTTGTGTTTGGCGTAGACATTTTTTTACTGTGCGACCGAGGGACCCTCTAAGATAACCAAAAGATGATGAAGATGAAGCAGCAGCAAATCTGCAAAAAGCCTGGGGAATGTGTGACCCCCCCGCCCGCGCCTGTCTGGCGGGGTTCTGCGCCAGGTTCTTGGCCACACATAAAAAAATTAATGCTTAGTATTCAATAATTAATTAATTTTTGTTTAAAAAAAACACTTTAAGATATAAATGATCCATTTAAACATCTAAGCGTCTAGGTACATTTTTGACAATGCATGTGCTTTTGAATTTAAACTATTTAATGAATACAATTTACCCCGTTTACTCTTGGAGTAAAAAAAAGTTATTGACCGTCTTAATATCATTCCCGGCTGGAAGTAACTTAAGTGTTTGGATTCGAATGTCGAAGGAGTTCATTAAAATAAGATGTTTTCCTATTAAAAAAATATTTGTAGTACTCGAAATAATTTCTTCACTTCAGACTGTTTTTTTTTAAGTGTATGTTCCGAGTTTTTAGGTCCCCGGCCAACGTCGTGTTGTCATAATGAATGGTGCAGCTTAAGTCATTTCATTTTGGAGCTGGTCTCGAGGCTGCTGCGTTTTTTATAGTGCTGCTGGCGCCATGAAATATTAAATTACGAGCTGCTGTTTGCGATCACCCCGCGTCCCTTGGCCCCCCTCCCCCGCCCTCTCACCCCATCCTCATTAGGCGCTGAGACATTCCGCATACGCCGTGTGTGTTTGGCTTCGTTTGCGAATGAAATTAATAACTAAAACGTTGCAGCCCATAAAAAAGGGCAGGCGAAATCGATCCGCGAATCGGGGAAATTGAAATTCCAACTTTCAGAATTAATAAGTTAATTTCTGCAAACGCCTCTTGATGTCCAATCCATCTGCACGTATACGTAAATATATGTTTTGCATAATTACACCCATCTCCTCCTCCGTTTACGACTTTGGCTAATTTGCCAGGTATTCCAGAGGGTGATGAGGGGGTGCAGAGGGCTTTTATGATGCGGGCTGCCATTAAAAAGGTTAAAGTTGAGGCTCAGTCGCTTAATGACTATCCTGGGGCCACTTGGGCATATGGGTCTTGCCACTTGGGGCGCATGTTAATCGTTCGGACATTTATGGCAATGGCTTGACACATGTTTGTGGGCATCTTTGTGAAAGTTAATGGGGTGAAGGGTTTATAGGATATCTTAGACGGATTATAGGGAATGAGCGACTCAAGAAGACTATATTTTCCTAATTTTCAAGTGATTAAATATTTTAATATAATACATGATTTCTTAATTAAAATTACATGCCTGTCAGAAAAACTTCAATATTCCCATGGTAATAAAATCTGTAAGCCTTAAATTTATTATTATAATTATACAAAAAATTATATGTCAGAGTTCAAATTGTCCGTAACAAAACAACTGAGAAACTGAGGTTTCAGAACGTTAAACACAATCGATTAAAATATGATTTCTAACAAGGCATGAAACTTATTTAATTGTATATTCTTAACAGCATGTTAAAAATTCGGGATTTAAAATTCCGTGGGTTTGGTAACGAGTACCAAAGATACAACGCTTCTCTTGTGAACTTTGTTTCCCACTCATATATCTTCATCCTATTAGCTGAAACGTATTTTATGATTTGGATTTATAAAGCTCTCAGTGGCTTTCACCACCTGCAAGTGCAATCATTCCTTCGGGAACTTTGAATCACATGGTCAGTAAATTTGGTCGAAATCAAATAACGATAAAAAATCACACGAATATTAATTCGCGGAACTGCAAAGACCTTCAGCTAAAAGGCGGTCGAAAGGCAAAGGCAGAGCTGTTTATGAAATTTATAGTTGCGGTCTAGGAGAAAAGACCGCAATCGTTGAGTCCCAGTTTTAGTTCAGGTCGGGTTCGAGGTTCTCTTCGCCATTCCACAGCTGGTCGTGTGAGAATGTTTGGCCACATGTGCCCCAGTCCTCATCCTCATCCTCATCCCCATCCTCGTCCTGATCTCGGACTCAACCTCGAGTTCAACTGCAAAAGGCGAGCCTGCAAAAAATACATTTAAAAGAATCCAATCCAACTACTGGCCAAGTCCGAAGATCGCCTCTAATGGCAATGCAAAGCTGGAGTCTTTGTTTCTGTCCTCTCCGCTTTTATACAATCAACTTCCATGGAAGTGGAGCTTAAGCCCGACGATGAAAATATTTATATATATAAGTATTTGGGCGCAGACTTATCGCCAAACAAGATCAATAAGCACGATATCAATAAGCACTGGTGTTGTTCCAGGCCGAGTAACAAGAACAACGCTGGACGAGCAACTGGCGCAGATCCAAACTGATGGACATCGGGGTAGGTGGGGTTGAATAGGGAATAGGGGAAACGGCTATGGTGGGGGGAGTACTTGCGAGTGCCCGCTGGAGTATTAACCTAACTGTTTTTAAAAGGATTTTTTTAGGAACCAAATCATTCTGTTAATGAACCGGTACCGTCTGTAGCCTATCATTGCGTCAATTATTATTTTTTCACTGAAGGTTACCTAAACGATAGCTTTTTATTGGTATATGTCTATGTTATTAGCAATTAGTCCAAAGTAATGGGACAACAAATAAAAGATGGTCCAAAACCAGGAATGTGTATATAAATTGGGCTAGGACTCGCAATAAAATTGTAATTTAAACAAACATTCCGAACTTTTATATTTATTTTTACTTTATTATTTTTGACCGGTACTTAGACATTTAAAGCAAAAACAGAATGAATTAAATGACCGCCTAAAGTTCGGATAAGAAAAATATTTCGGAAAGTAAAAGTAAAAAATAATAATTTACTTTCAATGTCCGTTCGTAGCTTAACTTTTATTTTTCTAAGAACTGGCCTTTTTTCTATAAAAAGTATTTAATTGGACGAAATGGAAAACGTGTTCATGTAGACGACTAATCGCGAAAAAATTTGGGTGGAGAACAAATTCCAAATTTGTCAAAATTTGTCTCGGCTGTCATTATCATTAGCCAGATTACATTTTTTATTATTATAATTTCTGCGAGATTTCGAGGAACAGAGGAAAGCGGAAAAATATACCACGAAACAGACCCAAAGTCCACCGATGCTAGATGACGGGTTTGGATTGGATTGGTTCGGTTTTTGAGCCGCAGCCAGTATCTGTTTGTGTTTACTTGTGCTGGCTGTTTACCCTTGTGGCATTTGCATATTTTGAATGTTCGCGGGCGACTCGTGGCACGTTTTACAGAAAACCGCGGGGAAAGGCGAAAAACTTTATCGATGATTGTGTGGGCGAGTCATGCGGCCCAGTCTCTTGACGACCTTTTCATAGTTCTCCATGTCTTTTGTTGTTCGTTCTGCGGTCGTTGTTGTCAAACAATTGTCACAACGTGTCGGCATTCACACGAACTTTATGTTTTATCCAACACCTCAGCGCAAATCTCTCAAGGGTTAAAGTTTGCGTAAAGTTTGAGGTCTTGCGAGGGATTCGGGGAGTGGGTGTTGGGGAGAGGGGATCTCGGGATGGTGGCCGATCGGTGATCCATTGCCCTACCGCATTTCACTCGTCCATCAATAACCGTCTGCGGCGGTGTTCCATCAAAAGTCGCCTGCGATTGTACAAAAACCAACACTCCGCCTGAAGGGTCCTTCAATTCTTGGCTAATAATGAGCGGAACCTCAGCGGTTCCATTGTTCTGGCTCCTCTCCGTGCCCTCCCAAATATGTATTCATTATATTTATGGCACAATTTTGCTTTCAAAAGGAGGGGAACAAAAAGAAACACTTGTACCCTGGCCAGGGCCCCGACTGACAGGCGGAATATCTTTTTTCTCGCGATCGATCCAAGGAACCAAGGAACCAGCGAACAAACGAACGAACGATCGATGGATTGGCCCCTTCGCCGAATAGATCACTCAAGCGTAATGAATTATTGATGGCCCGATCGGCAAAAGGGTAGGGAAAATCACACACAAAAACGCATAGCCGAAGCTGTAGCTGCAGCCGAGAGATGAAATGTAACCAGAGCTTTGACTTAATGTGGCAGCTCAACCAGATCGATATGTCCATACAACCGAATCGATCGAAACTGCTCAAGTTTTGTGACTTTGTCAAGTCCTCCTCCTGCCTGTGCTGATCATTTGTGATATATTGTTTCGGTAGCAGTTTGTTAAACGTGATCAATTTTTAATTACCCATCATCATCATCGTCCATCCGCAGGCTTCCATCGATCGGTGATCGCTCGATTGTCGTATCAATCGCACCGCACAGAATGTAACTCGGACGTTTGTCGCTTGTCATTCAACGATTTATGCCCCGAGCGACTTTAATAAATGTGTCTTTGCCGCTTTTGGCCCCAGTTGATCGTTGGATCCTAGTACCTCAACTCCCTTCCTTCGCTGATTGAGGCGACTTTGTCCCTGGTGATGTGGCGCCGTTGTCCCCCCTCCACTCGCTGAATCCAGTTCCCCATTTGGAGCGAGTGTGCGCAAAATGTTTAATTAGTTTTTGTCTAATTAACACTTGGGACATGGCGAAAGCGACTGGAGTCGTGTGCCACCAAAGGCGTGAAGATCAAAAGGTAAACAAGCGCCATCGATCTTAGGAGCATGTGAAGGAAAGTTGAGTTTAAATAAAATATATTAGCGAATAAATTTACTTGCATTGGAAATAAATATCAATATTAATCAAGAAACAAGGTTTTGGGAGTTGTCCATTAAGGCAGTGTGAGAAAGGAATTAATACTAATTTTATATTTAAAATAAATGTATTTGTACGGTGAAAAAAGGAAAGGAAATATATTGTTAGTTATAAGCTCTTATACGCTCTAAAAAGAAAACAAACCTATTGAAAAAGTCTCTGCAATTTTGAAACCACTCACTAAGGTGTTTACAAAATGCTATTAAATATCGATTTTTAATATAATATAAATCGCAGCATACTCATTTTAGATACCTAAAAATATATTAAAAAATTTAGGTAAATGCCCCTAAATTATACATAAAATATATTCCGCTGAAAGCCATCAAATATTAAGAAATTGTAGGTTTCAATGCACACTTTATCTTTCTTGTTAATTTAAAATTGGTTTTAAATTTAAAAATTCTTGCTCTATTTATACAAACCCGTTCCATTTCAATTTTGGCAATCCTCTGTTAAAGTCTCGACCATGGCGGGACCAACAACATAATTTCTTTGTCTGCACACGCCCATTTTGCCACCAGAATTCCAAAGCGTCCAAGTTCCGAAGGTTCCGAGGTGGCGAGCCCTTAGGCAGCGCACAAATTAAGGTGAACGCCCACAGCACGCGCCGGCAGAAAAAGTAGGGATAGGGAGCCAAAGCTCAGAGCTCGGAGATTGGAGGACCGAGGACCGCGGACCGAGGACCGAAGACCAGGAACCTAAGCAGCCAGGCTGGCTGCCAAAACTCCAGTGGAAATATTTGCCACTTGAGTTTCGGTGGCTCCCTCTTTTTCCCCTCTGGCCGCGATAACCACTCGAAGTTATTGGCGCGCGCGTTTATTTATTTTGGTGCGGGGCGCAGAGCAACAAATTAAAAAGTAATTCTCAGGCGCAGCATAATTAGCTGCTAAGTGACACTAATGGGGCCGCAGTTGCACTGCCCCAAAAATCCGCCCCATCTCCATTCCCGTCCATCTCCATGTCCCTGCCCGAACTTGATGCACTTTTTCCACTTTTCGGCGGGTCGTTGTGTGTGGGCAATGTGAAGTTCTCGAGATGGTGATTGAGTTTTCGTTGGTTTAGCTAATTGAGTTTTGTTTTTCGGGCCAGCGGTCCACATGGCCACTTGGCTCCATTGTGGCTGCCAAGTTGAGTTGGCCCAGTAATTGATGGGCCTGCTGAAAGCAAGGTCTGTGCAGTGGGGAAATCTAGAGAGTTCTGGATAGTCGGAGTTGCCTTGCAATAGATGTCAGTTTGTTTTCCCACTCTCCACGCAGCTACACCTAAGAAGAGATTCGATTAGAAATGGTAAGCGGAAACACCGAATTTCCTCTAATTGACCATTAATCCTCAACCCCGACACAAGTTCCGTCATGGTAAGCACAAGCTGAGCTCTGGCAGCGTATCCTCAAAGGATCAGAATGAGCCTTTCTCAAGTGAAGATCGCAGCAGTATTGACCGAAATAAAGTTTCTCAGAAATCAAAACGATTCTTCTCCGAAGGCAAATCCGAAGAGGATCCCCCAAAAAAAGCTGTAGACGCTCCGATTTACACAGCTATACCAGGAACTTAAAAGAAAAGATATTAAAATCAAACTTTTCTCACAAGAGCCAGGAACAAAGTAAGCATTCAAGGGATGAAGACTTTTCAGAGGAAGAGTTCGAAGATACACCCAAGGACATTGAATACCTCTCAAGTGAACAGGACGATGTTCATTGTAGGTCTCAGATAAGCCAACAGTCCACTGATCGTTCCAAGAGCTTTAGTCAGATCTACAGCGAAATCTTCGAGGAGTCCAAGGAACGACAACAAAAGGCAGAGTGGGCTTGTCGAACCTACAACATAAACAAATCCAAGCTACATAGGTCTCTTCAAAAATCTGGGTCTAGGGAACTCGGAAGTGGGCACTATGAGAGCAGCCTGGGATCGGAGTCTTCCAGCAACTTGGCAAAGAGATCCCAGGAGTACGAAAATCGTTTGAAACAAGGACGGATCGGGAACATAAATGACAATCAAGAGAAATGTATTTTAAACAAAGCGAGGAGTCCTTTCAGCGAATTGGAGGGACCACATACTCATGGGGAAGAAATAGCTAAAGATCTTAGACTAAAGCGATCCAAACGACTTGTAAATAAATTAGAGCGTACAGAAAGATGGTGTTCGCATAGAAATCAAGAATCGCGAAAACCCTATTCGCATTGGTCGGAAAATAGGTGTTCTGATGATTGTAATAGATCATACTTGTGCAAGCACGAGACTTCAGCTTTCAGGACTAGCTCGGTTTGTTCGAGATCAAGAAAATACGATTCTGAGGTGACTGATGGGAACGATTACCCTGCAGTTTGCAAAAGTGACACAAGCGCTGGCATTCAAACTACTGCGACACCGCAATCTGGCTCACAAAGAGATTATCTTTCGAGCAGCAGCACACGCCATCGTCATCATCATCATTATCGTCGCCAGAGGAGTGTGCCCAAGACGTATCAAGATCGTGGAAATAGTCCCATTAACATCAAGACGAGGCGGAGAATGCACGACTACCAGGACCTTCACCGCGAAACTGGCACCGAGAAAGTGAGGAAGGGTTGGCTTGGCAGATCAAGTGCCTCCGTTGGGGTGCAATATCCCAGTGGAGATGAGATCGAGGATTGCTCTAACGGAAGGCCGAGTAGTTTTCTAAATATGGACCATGGAGTTCCATATGAGTTTGAAAGTCATAAAGGTGGTTTGCTGAGCGCTGGAGAAGGCAAAATATTAGGCGTCAATAATCTTGTTCCAATCCGGTATGATGAAGAGCTTAAATGCAAGGGAAATCACAATTTACAGGACATGGAGATAAACGAGGGATTGGATGAAACAATAAATAAAGATCATTGTATGACTGAAGACGAAGTTCGAATACAAAACGATCTATATGAATATACATTCGATGATGAGCTAACTAAATTTGTTGGTTTCAAGACATACGATAGAGGTGAAGAATTTAGTGATGAATATGGCCAGGAGACCAAGATATCCGATGAAATGGAAAACTTTTCTGATGATTATGATCAAACGGTCACCAGTGAAGAAGTAATCACTGAAGAAGGAAATCAACTTGCCCGGAAATCAACCGATGACGAAGTAAGTATTTTTCGCAACAATGGAAACACTTTACGTATAAATCCGCTTTATTCTTCCCAGGAATATATTGAAGATGGTCAAGGGTTTAATCATGAAAATGGGGAAGATGTGTCTTTAGATAAATTAGGTCAATATAAGATTTTCGATGAAGAGTCAGTACAGTCTAAGGAAAGAGATGAAGTTAAACCAAAAAGCCCCCTGAGTCTCACGATATACGATGCTGATGAGGCCCTAATGGAGATTCCGGAGGATTTCGAGGGTTCTGCTGTCGTTCTTGACGACGATGCCGACTTCCTGGACATCACGCTGACCGATGATGAGGAGCAGATCCGGGCCAAGTTGATGGCGGCAGCGCTGACCACCAGAAGAAGTAGCTGTTCCATCAGCGCTTCCAGCGGGCTCAAGTCCCGGCGCTCCATTGAGTCCAGCATCCTCAGCTACAAGCCCAGCGTGATCTTCACCCGCCGATCAAGGGCGTTCGACGAAGATTGTGCTCCCAGACGGAACGATCGAATAGCACTCTTGGCCGAGCAATTTCTGCGGAGCTTTTCCAAGTCCTACTCCGAGGGTCCCGAATGGCAGCCCTTGGTGGAGGAGGTGACCGCATCAGAATCTAATTGGCAATCGTTGGAGGAGCGGGAGGTCACCAAAAGGACCACTGGCGATATAAAGGACAGTGGGACCCCACTTTCCGTGGACCGCCAGTTGCTGTCGGAGGAATTCAACAAGAAGTTGCACCGCCAGCTAAAAGTAATTGTGGAAAGTTTCCAATGAATTTTTTGCGCGCATATATATTTTGTATTTGTAATTACGCGACATTGAATACAGCTGGATATTTGTTCACAGCATACGCATTCCGTGATGAATGAAATGTTTTATGTGCACAGGCAAAGTAAAAGGGTAGCTAGTAAAGGCAACGTATCATAACTCAAAAAATCTTTAAATTTAAATGAAATAGATAAATATTAACATACGATAATAGTTATTTACAAAAAATAGCCGATATGTTAAACATTGTGTTTTAAGCTCAAGGGTCACGTGTTTTGTAGTGGAACGGGAATAAGTTTTTTATACCCTTGCAGAGGGTATTATAATTTTGGTCAAAAGTGTGCAACGCAGTGAAGGAGACATCTCCGACCCTATAAAGTATATATATTCTTGATCAGGATCACCTCCTGAGTTGATATAGCCATGTCCGTCTGTCCGTCTGTCCGTCTGTCTGTTTCTACGCAAACTAGTCTCTCAGTTTTAAAGCTATCGGATTGAAACTTTGCACACACCCTTCTTTCCTTTGCACGCAGTATATAAGTCGGAACGGCCGGGATCGGCCGACTATATCCTATAGCTGCCATATAACTGATTGATCGGAAATGCCATAACTTTCGTGTTTGTAAAGTTAGGAAGTTGGGATTTTCTATGGGTTTTATATTTGGCCAATCAATCCGACCTACCAAATTTCATAAGGATCGGCCGACTATATCCTATAGCTGCCATATAACTGATTGATCGGAAATGCCATAACTTTGGTGTTTGTAAAGTTAGAAAGTTGGGATTTTCTATGGGTTTTATATTTGGCCAATCAATCCGACCTACCAAATTTCATAAGGATCGGCCGACTATATCCTATAGCTGCCATATAACTGATTGATCGGAAATGCCATAACTTTGGTGTTTGTAAAGTTAGAAAGTTGGGATTTTCTATGGGTTTTATATTTGGCCAATCAATCCGACCCACCAAATTTCATAAGGATCGGCCGACTATATCCTATAGCTGCCATATAACTGATTGATCGGAAATGCCATAACTTTGGTGTTTGTTAAGTTAGGAAGTTGGGATTTTCTATGGATTTTATTTTTGGCCAATCAATCCGACCTACCAAATTTCATAAGGATCGGCCGACTATATCCTATAGCTGCCATATAACTGATTGATCGGAAATGCCATAACTTTGGTGTTTGTAAAGTTAGGAAGTTGGGATTTTCTATGGATTTTATTTTTGGCCAATCAATCCGACCTATCAAATTTCATAAGGATCGGCCGACTATATCCTATAGCTGCCATATAACTGAACGATTGGAAATGCCATAACTTTGTTGTTGTTAAAGTTAGGAAGTTCGGATTTTTTATGAGTATTAAGAATGCATCATATGAATAATTTTGGAGAATATAATTTACAGAGTATTCTGCAAGGGTATATCAACTTCGGCTCCGCCCGAAGTTAGCTTTCCTTTCTTGTTTATTTATTATATTGTTTTCGATGCACTGAAAGAGTTGGCCGAGGCTAAGCCGGAAAGACCTTCAAAGAAAACAAAAAGATTGTCGAAAACTAAATGCTTTTTATATATTCGAAATCAATATATGTACATTGTCAAGTATGTTCCGAGCTCTCAGTATATAGTTATTCTTACGCGGCATTTTTCTAGGCGTGGAATGGCTTGGAATCTAGACGGAGATTGGGTCTGGTTGTGGAAACTACTTGAAACTTTCAGCGGCATGGCATGGCCGCCTGGCAGTCTGCTGTTGCAGTCTTGTTCCGATCTGCTCTGCGTCCTAGGCCGAGGTGCATAAATCAACTTTAGTGCAGGCCAAGTGTCTTGCTGAAGGGCGCAGCTCTCGAGTGGTATTTAGGTCTGGAGCACCACCCCCTCCCCCGCAGCATAATTAGCCCGTGGCTACTGTTAGTCTGCTCGTGCACTTGCCCCACTCTCCTTTTCCCGCCCCTCGAGGTGGCCATTCATTTTCCCGACACATACTAAATATGCTGGAGTTGTTTACATGATCGATCAGGGATCTATGCTCGCCTGCATGCTCGGGATGCACCTAATTGCTAACCAAACACCACTGCAGGCGGAGCGGGCGCGCAAATATTGTTTTAAGGCACATCACCGTATTTCACCTGCCTAATGCCTGATCCACGTGCTGTTGGGACTTGGATAGACTGAGTGGGTGTATTTTTGGGGAATGTTCTGTGTTCATTCCCTACTTTTCCCTATAATGAAGTGCGCTGGATATGTTTATAGTTTACGATACTGTGCAGTGCTTACTTGTGGTTTTAAAATTGAAGGTAGGGTTGGGAGTCTGTTCGTTGTGTCACGAAATTCATACAATCAACAAGATGTGTTCTCGTTGAAAACATATTTTGTACACCAATTCAATTTCGTGTTTCAAGCTATACGTATTTTGATAAAAACTTATTTATTATTTTAGTAGTTTGAACCAGTATCGGTTAATTTTTTAACAAATTTTAATAACGAAGCACCTGAGTATTTATTTGAATTAATCTGACTATACTTGGAAACATCTACCAAATGAACTTAAAGCTATTGGAGCGTAAATACAACTTAAAAATAAACGAACTGAATACCAAATTATCATATTCACATTATAGACTAAAGTAAAAAGTCAAATCAAAACGGTACAAGTAAAATTAATTAAATTTTATTCCTTAAATATTTAAGAATGGTTTAATAACTTGGCTTCTATCATTCAGTCATTAATCATTAGACATCACTAGACGGAAGTATCAGTAAAATTATTTTTTTACAATATGGGAAATGTTGACAAATAAGTTAACAGGGCAGAAGAAATTTCTGTTTCCAGTCTTACCAAATAGAATTAAGCCCAGCTCGTTATTTGATAGGCTATATCGCAATCTAACCAATTTCCCACACGCACTGCCCACAAGGACCGATGGGCCCACGTGACTTTTCGTGGTCATCAGGTGAGCGCACACGGCATAATTTAGACAATTTAGACAATTTATTGTGAAAAATGCACTCAATTTATATGACTTGATTATATTTGCCTTCCTTGCTGCCAGTCGCTGTCGAATGGCTGTGTTTGCTTAAGTCGCCGCATGCCGCAAGCCGCATGCCGCACAGATCCATTACATTGGCTGGGACTCGGACATGGCCTAAACAAGACTGCGACAACAACACCAGCGGATTGGATGACGATGATGGAGAGGTGGAGGGGATGGACGGCTCGAGGCGCACCCCACGCCAATTTATTAAAGCCAACACCAGGGAAATGTGGCCGAGTGGCACAGGTTCTCTGGGCCTATTCGATATGAAAAATTGCACGAAGCTGCAAAAGCGCATATGCAAAATGCATAATTCATTTAACATTTTGTAAATCATTTGTTTGAATAGCACGATGACGGTGATGCGCGGCTAGCTCCCATGGTCCTGCCTCCAATCCTCCAGTGCTCCAATGCTCCAATCCCTCGATCGCCGGTCCCCGCAACAACCTGCCGCGACCCAGCTCCTCCTGGCCAACAGTTAAGCTATTCGTCTGCCCTGACAAATCGAGAGTTGAGTCGGCCGGAGTGGACTCGGGTCGAGCCTTGGACTCGGGCGGGGAACCCGGCTCCAGTCCTCAGCTTCAGTCCAATCCTGCTGCAGCAACACAATGGCCATGACGGTGCGCAAATATAATTTCACAACTGTCTGCACATGCTCCAAACGAAACGAGGCACACCGCAAAGGTGAAACTACATCGGGAGAAATGAGAGAGGAACGTTGGCATAAAGAAAGTTTAAAACTAATTTGTGGCTTGTAAGTTTTTGCATTAAACGTACTTAAGTTCCTGGAGTTTTGTTGAGTACATTTGGACCTTATACTTTAGAGAATTGGAATTCTATAAGTAAGTGCTGACTTGGAACTGTTTCTTTGGTTTGTACGATGTTTAAAAATTATTGTAAATTCTAAATTTTTCAATAAATAGAAATAAAAAAGTTGAATTGTTCGACAGCAAATTAATTCGTCTTCTGTCTTGATTAAAAGTATTTGTTAATGCTATAATTTAAAATTATATCACCCTAATGATTTTGTTTTTAAGAGACCTTTAAATATATTAGCTTTTCCTGACAAATCAATTTCTCTCAGTGCAGCAGCGAGACGAAAGCAACAGTGTCCAAAGCATAAAAAGAGCTCAGCCATAAGTCACAACGCCGCAACGACTTTTCAGCTTGGGATAAGCCTTTTTATTATTATTTGTATTTGCCTCATCTTTTTGCCTTTGATTCCTGTGAAATTTGCATGCGTTGGGATTCCGATTCCGATTCCACCCCGATCCCGACCCAATCCCAATCCAAACTGCGATCCCGATCCTCCAACGAGCTAATTTCGTTTTGTGTGCGAATATTGAAAAATTACAAAACTTTTAATGCGAGTGGGGGAAGGGATTTGGCTGGCATGGGTTCCAGCTGGTCCCTTCCATTGAGATTTCTTGGGAACCCAGTTTCTGGCCGGTACTGTCTGTAATTTTAATGATCCTCCACTGACATCGTAACTCAATAAGGCTGCCCAGTCGCGATCGCTCCAGACAGACAGTCTGGGATCTGCTTGGCTTTCCCAGCCAAATAATTTATCATCTTTGGTTGCACTTCGAAAAGTAATTAAGGTTTCTCCCAGCTCGCGTGTGGTCGGTGGCTGGGGAATGCGGCATTGGGTGTGTTGCCAGCGGAATCTATTGTAAGTCGAGTGTGGCGTTAAATTTTGGATTAAAAAACTATTAGCCAAGTGTAAAAATTATCGTTAATGTGGTGTGCGGTGGTGCCAATGCGTCTGCGCCGTGTCCAAGCTGTTCCAATATTTTTATTTATCGTTTGTATTTTTTTTCCGAAATGTTGTTGCTCCACAAATAAAATTACAAGAGGCTTGGCTTCTTGGGCTAAATCACACTAGGTTACAAAAACACGAATTGAGAAGTAGCTATAGCTATTTACAGCTCTTAAAAATCCCGCCTCACAGTACCGTTTCCAGGTTTTTTTTCCGCTCTACTATTATTTTGTGTACGTAGTGCACAATTTACAACTGTAATACATTAAATTCTATTA